CCGACGTCAATAATTATCTTACTCAAATTGCGGAATTAACCCGACAAAAAGAGGAATTATCCTCGGCACAAGAGCAAAAAGAATGAGAATTAAACAATTTGCGGACCCAAAACCAAGAATTATTTAATCAAAAACGGCAATTTGAAACATTAAAAAATAATACTTTGCGAAGCCTGGCTGATCTACAAAGTGAAAATCAACAATTTCGCCAAACTATCGACCAAAAAACGACCGAATGCGACACTATTCAACAGGAGCGGGATAAAGAAATAAGAAAAACGAATTTACTAAAAAAAGCCACCCAATCACTTCGGAATAAATTGAGCCAACAAACTAATAATTTAACCGGCCTGCTGTCAGTAGCCAACAATACTATAAGAACCTATGAAAAATATTTGAAAGAAGAATTAAAAATAAGTGATTTAAATAATTTACCATCAGTGCCGGCTTCTTTGACAACTCTGATTAATTTTTTCAATAACCCTCCGAACTGTTTAAATCCCCAGCATAGTGATTACGATAGTCTAAAAAGTCGTCTGCGGCAAACCGAAGCCGAGTGCGAACAATTAGCAACCGAGAACCAGAAACTTAAAAAACAAAACAATCCGGCCAGAAACGATAACCCTCAAGAAAAATCCGGCTCGCAACCAACCGAAAATAAATCTCCCACTGATTCTCAACTAGTAAATGGATTACGGAACCAGATAACGGCCTTGAACCGAAAAATTAGCCAAAGCGGGGCAACCACTGAAAAGGAATTATTGAACCGAATCAGTTCCGATTTGTCCTTAGATTTAAGTCCACCCATCAATTATGACCGAGTAATTACGGCTATTCAACAATTAATTAAAAATAAGTCTGCTGAAAGTTATAATCAAGAACTTGCGTCTGGCTCAAATGAGACTAATAAAAATTTAATTCCTTGGTGATTTTGGCTGTTTTTGCTAATTTTAAATGCTGCTATTTTAACTTGTTGGCTGGTGAAAGTTAAGACAACAAAAATTAAAAAAAGAATTAGGAACTAGGCAAACAAAAAG